TATTCGAGGAATAATCTGATTCAAGGAACAGGAGAGGAAATGAGAAACACTACGGAGCGCACAAGAAAAGCCTGTGCTGCTTAGAATCAGAGGCGGAATCTCGGATTTGCTTTATATTTCCAAACCCAAGCCCTAATGTTCTTCTTCCTGCAACGTCCCATGGCTCATCCAAGGATAGTTTCAAAAGTTGCCAAAACGAAGTAATATTAGAAATGAACCTTGAATCAATCAACTTTAAAATTATTTATATCACTTGGAAGCTTTCTCCGACGAAAAGTGCAACATGCTGAAGTCCTCAAAAGCTAATTTCACATAAATGATGTTCGAATTGCTGCATTGATGAAATCATTGGCTCCTTTGCTTGAATTCTTGGGAAAAATTTTTCATTTTCTAAACCTCTCTTCTCTATGAATCATGATTATATTACAGGTGAACTCTCTTTCTCTGTCTTGGCAGACCTTTTTTTAAAAATCGATTTCCTCATATTCTTGAAAATTTCACTGGCCTTCAATCATTTCACCGATCTTTCGTTGAGATGAAATTCATGAAACAGAAGACTGCAGGTTGAGTCTACGTGTTCTTTGCAACCTTGTTTAAAATCTGCTGCAGGTTGACTTTTAAATGAAATTCAAGGGACGAGGAAGAATTCATTATAGAGAACCGCCATGACCTGGGGAGAGAATCGTACGGGACATAAAAAAGCGTTGTACTGTGAAGAGAACACAAGAAATGCTCCTCGCAGTCAGAAACGCTCCGATTCAGTGAGACTTCGACATGCCGACGATTCGACTTCGTGACACTTGAAACTCGCCCGACATCCGGACAATGGCTCTAGAAAGGGACACTACCGACGGTCTCCAGAAAATTAGAAAACAATTTATTTCTTAATTTTGATACATCTTCAACAAATTGAGGTATTTGTATTAAAAAAATTGAAAATAAATTCCATAATAAATTTACCGTAATTCCTAATTAGACAGCCTGATTTTGTGCTCATTTTTCTAGAATTATTTCCATCATCTGTGCACATAATAGCAAGACGTATTCTTTTCCTTTGATTTTTAAGCTCCTTTTGATGCCAAAAGATCAGAATACATGTGATTTTCTTCTTTACAGTTGTTTTCTGTACCTAAAAGATGAGGGACAAAATTTCATTCAATTTTTGAGGGACTTGTTCCTACATTTGATGAACAGGAGAACCAATTAGATATACAGTATTTGCATTGAAGACCATGGGAAAACGAGATCCGACAAAGTGACGAGGACCAATTACGTCCACATCTCGGGGTCCCACTTTCTTTTACAGATGAGAAAATAAAAGAGGACCGTAAATTTGCATCATCAAGTCAATCTTGGGTCAGAGCACGAATTTAAAAAAAAGGGGGGGGGGGGGGATTCAGGTCTTCGGACTTTCGAAGCTTCGATCTGAGACCCATTAAGAGCTATTTCCGCAAAGTGTGCCGAGGGAGAAAGACACGACACGATACGCTTCATTCAGTCGAATCCTTTTCAACTGGCCAACCGAGAAACTCCGCTTCACTACTTCGTCACTCATCCGCGAATCGCGAGCAAGTTGTGGTACGCTGTCCATTCCACGCAACAGTCAGTCTATTCAAGTGAAGTACAGAAACCCCCCCGAAATACCATCGGAACAAGCGACAGCCTAAAAATAAATGCAACTCATTAAAAAAGAAAGACAGCGAAGTCTAAAAATCACGGCGATCCACGGAAAGATTTGCATAGATTAAAAAATTACCTTCCAGAGAACAATCGCAAGACATTTCCAGGAAAAAAATCTTGACGATTTTTATGCACAAGACCAATTTCGTGTGAATATAAGACTGAAAATCGAGTCGAGTCTTTTATTAGCGGGCAAAATTCAGGATGATGGGGCTTTTCGAAAATACGTGCCCATTCAAAAAAATAACTACAGCGTCTCAATAGTGCATTGAAGATCTCCAGGACGTCCAAAAAGCTTGAAAAATATTCCGTAATTACGGCAAGTGAAAGTGAAAAAGGCAGAACTTCATCATTTTTCCCCCTTCGAATTCAGTACCGTATTTATCAAATATGTACGGCGGTCAAATTACCGCTATCAAAATTCATGAGAGTTCATTTGCAATTCGGCACTGGAATGCAATCGTTGAAAGAATGCGGGAACCTTTCATGTAGCCTGAACGAATGAAAAAAAAAGGACATTACGCAGTATTGAAATCGTTGGCTTCATTATCGTATTTACCATGTCATTTTCACCGACTGAACTCAATTCTTGGGTTGAATAAAATACAATACTTGTTCTACGCGTCCAACCTTATGCTGATCATTCCAAGAATTTTTCCCGATTGACAGCAATCAAGAATGTGTTAAATGTACTTGAAGTACATCAAAAACTCCCCGAAGCGAAGAAATTCCAATTGAGGTAGAAAGGAAAACCCAACAAAATTTTCCAAATGACCGAGTACAGCATTTTTCTTCAGAATAGAAACACTTCAAACCTTTTGATTCGTTCACGGAAACTATTCTTCGATCAACGGATATCGTTCACTTTCTACGAAGCTAACCGATTCTCCCGCGGGGTAATATTTCGGATGCTACGACGTGCAAGAATGTGAAAGTTTAATGAAATTTCCACACCCGCGAGACCCGTGAAAAAAAAAACCCTCGACGCGTGGCGTAACATCATTCATAATACCACAACACAGACCGAATCCCATCCAGATGGGCATCTTATCACATGCGAGAACAAACCTGAGGGAAGCAATGAGGTAATAGATATGCCCCGGGCACAAGTTATCGTAGTTTTCTGTTGCCCCCATCTCTCTCTCTCTCTCTCTCTCTTTTCCCCTCCTCGCCCTTCTCTCAATTGCACAAGACAGCGTGACCTGGATTTTTTCAAAACCGCCGCAATACGATTGGGGGAGACCCGCGAACGACAGCCACTGTTCAACGATGAGCAAGGTCGCATCAATTGTTCGTTTCGCTTCGCTTCGTCGACCCAGCTCGCTGTATGGACACCCGAGTGTATCTAACTACGGTCTTCGAGCTGTCCATATGCGAGGCTTATGATGGGTTCTAGTCCTTAAAAGGAACACGACAGACTTGATAGATCATTCACGCATTCGCCGCAACGGAGAAAAAACACGAAACTGCGTTTAAAGTCGGAGATCTCTTTTCTTGGTTTCTTTTATCTTTCTTTACGCTCGGATCACAACCCGGACAATGAATGAATGAACGAACTAAGCCTTCAGTACTCCGCATGCGAGTTGACCCAAACACGTGTAACGTTCAATTCATTAAACACGCCTCGAATCGACGGGATAGAATGACACGATTGATGCAACGCACTTCCGACAAAAATAAAAAAAAATTTGAACCGAATAATGTAAAGTATATCTGGATATCTTATCTTTATACAGTACAGTAATGTAAACATTCTCAATTTTTAACCGCTCGAACTAGAAAGCTTCCAGGCGAATGTGAGACGCAGTGCCACTTGCATCAAATTACGACAGAACCTCTAGTGTACGAGTGCGAAAAATACACAGAGATTAAAATTCTCATAATCTCCTGAAGCTCACAATTTTACACAATGATAAAATGCAAATGAAGGCCTGTTGCCAAATGAAATCAACACTGTCCACGACTTCTTGGAAACGATATACAGTACTGTACTGTAAAACCCAACAAGATCCTTTTTGTCATATATTCAAATGTTTCAATTCCAATTCTCTGAATTCAGCTTAACTGCAGTTTGAAACAAATATGAAGTGGAAAGAATTTACAGATGGACACTCTCTAGTCTCTGCAACGAAATTCAAGCATTTAAAGGGACCAGGAAACAATTCGCCGCAGAGGATCCCGAATAACATGGGCAGAAAACCCTGTGGGACAAAAAAAGAAAGCGTGGAACAGAGAAAATCGTTGTAGAAAATCTCATCGTAGAGAGTCCACCTATATTGCAGTGCAATATTCTGAATCATAATTTCGTGGTTAAATCGAAAAAAATTAATTTTCTCGCGAAATTGAAAAGCCATCATAAGACGAACCGTGACTTCTTGCTTGTTAAAATCAGTCATCTAATTTTTGTCATTATTGTGCGAAGTTCATGTACCGAAATCTAAACAAAATTCACCTAAACCTTGAAAAATTACCCGCACATCACTACGAACTTACCTGTATTTTCTGGAATACTGAATAAAGCCTATCGGTCTACGGAACAGTCCGGCATAATTTGTTTCACGAGTGAAATTCTGCATCAGAAGAAACCATTTTTATTATTTATAACCTCGAAAAAATGAAGCTTAATTGAAATTGAGAAAGGGAAACAGCGGACATCCACCGAACCATGAAGTTCACCAGCGCTTATAAGAGAATTGATACGAATTCTTCACGCCAAAAAAAAATAAATAGAATAGACAAAGCACACAGAACGCGACAAAAGCCTAGAATTACCCTCCTGATTCTGCGTCAGAATCAGAACCACGCGGTTTTCCGGAGCGTAAATAAAAAAATTCATAATTCCACCTTGAGGAAACAATTCATCGCAGCAAAAGCAGCAATTTGAGGAATTTAAGACCACACGCGAAGCATCCATAGCAACAATTAGACGGCGAGCCATCTGCGGAAAATCTCTTATTTTAAAGAGCACACGATGAACGAACGCCTCCCCCAAAATTTCTCATGGAGACCGCAGTATTTTTTGACTGACGGCTGAGAAAAAACATTTCCAGAAGGCTGCACATCGCGCGACTCAGGGAGCAGCACTGGAGCGAATGAGAGCTTCCCGCCGAAAATTTTTTCTCTTCACCGAAGGAAAGCGTTAAGCAATTCCCTTTTTCCTCTCCGAGGCGAAGTCCCACGTTGTTCCCCCCAGACGACGGCCAAAGGAAATAGAATCCGTCTCTCTCTCGGCTTCACCTCCGTGCAGGACTTAATTGCACGAGGCATTCTTCCAGCCATCAGCGCACGGCTGGTTATATATTTAAATAATTTACACCTAATCACCACGCGACCTTGACGGCGAGGAAAGATAAGGAAACAGAGATGAAAATCAACTCACCATTTCTTAAAGCTGCCTTGGGAACACGAGGGACTGCAAAGCTATGCTGACGAACACCATTCGCTGCTGCGAATTAAAAATAATTTTCCTTCATCGTACGGACATCTACCATGCGTTCACCGTTCTCATACACATACGACAGCAGATATATTCTTTACTAATGGGACGGTGATCTCGAACCGTTCGAGCGCCTTTCAGTCCAACAATTAAGAGAATATAATTGTAATACAAGTGGACTCTCTACAACAAAATACAAGGGACAAAAAAAATTTCGATATAAAGAACCCCTATAGCATGGGGATAGAAATGGGAACAAAAAACTGTTTATGCAGAGAAGATAGTTGCCGAGTCCACCTGCATAATAAATTGTCTGCACCATCAGACGCAGTTGAATTCTAAAAATAAAACCTTTTAAAAAGCTGATTTAGAGCATGGGAAGAATTAACCCTAAATTTAAGTTTTGCTTCCTCGTGTCTTCCGACTAAGAAATAGACCGAATTTCAGAACCTGAGAAAAATCTTCAACTTATGCTTCATAGAAAGCAAAATTGTAAGTAAAATCAAGTTACAATGGGGTAAAAGCGAAAAATAAAATCAACTGATCGAGCAGAAACTCCCAATACAAGAAGGAACTACCCACGAAACGAACATGAGACTTAATGCGGTCATTTTTAATGAACGGTACGATTCCCAAGTTCAAACAGCAGGTCTCAAAAGGCATTTAGCAATAATCACAATTTTAAAACGTGACATAGCATCGACGAACCAGAAGGTGAACTACCCATCGCTAAAATAAAAGTTCACTGGGTAGAAAATCGAAAAATTTCTGAAAAGTGCTTCACATTGATCCTGATAAGACGCATTTTTTTCTAAATTTAGTTCCTAAAAGACGAAAAGCATCTCGGATGTGCATGTTAGGTACTGTAGTCTCTTCCAACCAATCGGATTGCTCCAACAAGCATGAAATTTCGGATGCGATTAACCTAAGCCATACTAGAATAAAGTAATTACTCATTCAACACGAGGAAGACGTTGTCTTAGATATACGAGCAAATTTCGGTTAATTCTAGATTGAAATATTGATATTCGAGGAGCAGATACAGTAGACTTCAGCTAAGAAACTGAGCACAGCACTTCTTCTACAGCAGATCGAACTAACGTTGAGGAGGCGGGAAGGTATGAGGAGCAATCGCAGGACGATGTTGCTTGGTCTTCCCAGGACGAGGCCCGTCCCGCGCATTCTGCTCGTGTAACACAGCAAGAGCCACAGGAGGTTCCATCGACCGTTTGCATATAATCTGCGGGTGTTCAACTAAATTGGAAAAAACGAAGAGCGTCAAAGAAAGAGACAGTGGTGGTAAGACAAGCTGGACTCGCTCACCCGTATCCCCGCTGCTGCTGCTGCTCCGGGCTGGCGAATATCCAGATCGTCTCACTCCGATGAAACCAAAACGGTTTGGGCTCTGCAAAGGAGGAATTCTGGTGCCCGGTGACTCAGGAATAGCTTCATGGTGTGGTATAATGGGGCCTGTGTCTCTAGACGCTTTCTCTCCGTAAAATGAAGGTTTGGATCGAGAACGCTGCTGTGTTTTTGAAGAAAGATTTGCCAAGCGAGTCGCAGAACGAGACATGTTACAAGCGCTCGTTAATAACCACCACTCGAGATCAACATAATGGACACTTTTTCTGCAGAGACGTACACAAGGAGGGTGAAACATCGCAATTCATATAAAATGAAAATCAAAAAACATTTTTGCTGCAGGGCTGGAAACTGCAGAACCACGCATTCGTTTTGGTGAATTCGTATGAGCAATCTTACCCGAAACTCACTTCAAATCGAGATAAATCCGACAAAGACACCACAATACGTAGATAAAGGTTATGCTATCGACAAGCAGGTATCGCGATAAAAATTAAATTTCACTTATTCTCGTACAGGAGTGCGGATTAGTTTCCGCCCGAACGCTTTTATTACAGTACTCGCGTTTATACAGTATTTCGTCACCACAGCGTTAAAACAAAGATAAGAATTAATCAGATTCCAGAACCGAATGAAATTTCAATCCCAAACGCCTAAACCGCTCCACTGAAGCCGTCCCACTAACGTTCAATTCGGGTTCACGGATCAAAGAATTCTGTACGGCGATAATTCACAATAGAAATGACCTAAAGGAGTAGGATAGCTCCGATCTCAACAACCCACTGGTGAAGCATAACTTCACTTTACCCAATCAAAACTGTTTCGCTGTATGGCATTACAACATCTTTGCTAAACCGCATCCACCGTCCAACCTTCCTTCCATCTCACACGTCGCCCGCGGAACAAATATTTTTCTTCCGCATGCAGCAAGCGAGCAATGCACGCATACAAACACTACGCGTATGGTCGTATGGGCGGGAGAACTGACAGTCAGTAGTTCAGCCTGTACCTAACGTGGCAGCGAATTCGCGGTTGTGCCGTATTTTAAGGAAATGGCACAGGCTATTTCCACACTTCACGTACAATATGTGAATAATCAAAAGCGGTGAACACAACTCTCCACGTTCAATGGAAAGGAAATGCCAGATTTGCTTCCTTCAAGCGGGGATTCCCTGTATTAGTTGCTTCTCCGGCCAAAGCGTTTTAGAGTATCCCGCTTTCTTAACTGTCCATATGGATGAGTTATGAAAATAATCCATGCTCCGTGTGCTCAAAAATAAAGCGACACCTTCAAAAATACTGCTGCACTGTGCATTAACTGCTAATACCAAGTCTCTATGAAAGCATATCGAAGTGTAACTATCCATTCAATGAACGATAAAAAATTACCGGTAAGCTGTATTGATTCTCATAATATGAAGTCAACCTGTATCAATCAACCGCGTATCCGTCATCAGGATGGAATCATACAATTTCAGAATTACGGTAGGCAGGCGTAAGATAATTTCTTGTAGGATATAATACTGGTTGTGACTTCATTGTCCATGAATCTCCTTATATATTGGTGCGGACTGCGGACAGCACAGCGCGTACTCCACCAAAAACGTACTCCAGGGGTACACCATGCCTTTGCACCATGCACTCCAGGAGTGCATCCTAGGCAGGGTGTACATCCCTGGGCAAGGTGTCTCCAGTGTGTGCTGTGCCATCCGGCGGGTCCATTAAAATCTGTGGAGTGAAGTTCCACGGTGAACACCCCTGCAATTGTTCATTCAACAAAATTCAGAGGAAAGCCAATTCCATGGTGCTTCTTGTAGCTGTATATACCGTGGAAAAAATTTTTGAATTCCGCGTTTTTCAATCAAAACAGGGTGAAAATGATTGAAGAAATAAGATAAACCAAATTTATCTAGCACCTTCGTTCTATTAAATGCGCCAGCCTTGCCAAACACATGTTACAGTGCTGAGCTAAAGCTATCCTTCTCGGTCAAGCGGGCCAGTCGGACACTTTTTGGGGGGATTAGTTAGACATGCCCACAATTTCGTCAGCTGATCTGCACGAGCTGGTGATTCAGGAAGTTGATGGTTAGGATGATGGCATGGTTCAAATTTGTGGCAAGATTCTGGGCGATAGGTTTAGATTTGTATGTGTAAACCACTGCCGCAATGGTCATTAGATGAATTTACTTTCTTCCGCGTCTGTGCGAATGTGTATGGTGCATTCCTATCTTGCTACAGACAGGATTTTATCTCCTGTGTGCATTTGTCTTTGAATTTCATGAAGCTGTTCTGTCCAAGAGAACGAGCGCGACACCACTGTTTAGTTTCCAACTTCATAGCTTTTTCAGGGAAATCTGTATTTTTTGTGCGGGTTCACTTTAATTTGAATCCTTGTTGGTGTCGAAGTGAATAAGTGCTTGAAATTCCTCCATCCATCATCGACAGCGTTACGTGCAACTATCAAAGATGTCGAAAGAACCTCCACCACCGTATTCTCCTCCGCCTTATGGTGAGTTCTTATTCTAAGGGAATGAACGATATTCATTGATCCAAATCCAGCAAAACATGTATTTTCAAGGAGAATAATTAGTTTCTGGCGATGCCGCGTATCCCCCATAATGACTCGCTGACGATATGCTCGTTCCAATGCGAAGAAGAAAGCGCATAGCTGAGGTTCGAATTTGCCTCAAACCGATTCGCCGGAGAAATTCTTCAGTCGAGAGAATCGTAAACTCCAGCCATGCGGTGGTGCCTTCACCAGTTGCAGAGGAGGCAAACTAACTTGCAGGCCATTATCAGTTTCAACCCACTGTGGACAAGGAAACAGCGTGTTTTGATGCAGTTCAATCTTTGAAGTGTTAGGGATAGTCACCTCAACTTGCCCATGACCCAATAAGATTGCTTGGGTATCTGTCGATGGTTTTGGGGCAGCCAGCGTTATGGAGCCGACGGGATACTTAGTGAACAAAGCGTAAATGAATCCCTCTTCAGGATTTTCTAGGGTTCGCTTTGTATACCTGTGAAAGTCAACGTTTGGATCTTCATTTTTGTTCAAGTATCCATGTAGATTATATTTTGTGTGAATGTGAGTGAACTCACCAAACAGTTGGTGCCAGAGTGTCATTTTGGGTTGACCAAGGAACCGTTGCGTAAATTGCTTCTCCGTTGACATCAAGCCATTTTCCGAGTGACAAAAATCTGTCTTCGTAAATTGGATTGATCATTCCGTCTCCGGTAGCACCAACGTTGATGAGCAAATTCCCTGAAGGAAATGAATCATATTGATATGTACGGAATAAGGAAAACGAAGTTCTTCAAAACGTTTCGAGTAAATGGCTAGTTGTGCGAATCTGAATCCAGACATTTACCGCCGCAACTGACTGTTTCGATCAAGGATTTCACGATCTGCTTGACATCCATGAAATCCCAGACGTGCGAATTTCGTCTGTGCCCCCATGAAAATTTGTCCATGGACAGAACGTTTTCCCATTTCTTTGGCTGAAGAGTGCCTAGATGTGTTAAAACAGATTATTGTTATCTTGTTCGTTGTAGAAGAATATTGCATGTGAGAACCTGGGTTGAATTTGTCTCCACAATTGAGCACACCGCCGTGCTTGCATCCCGTCCCAGTCCCGAGTCTGTCGTTGACGACAACATTATTTCTCACTGGACTTTCGTTGTACAACCAAGCCAGGAATGCTGTAGAATTCCAGTAGTACGGTGGAGCTTCCCAGTCACCAGTGAGCCACACCATGTCAGGAGCATACCTTTCTACCTGTAGTCGCATTTGATTCCAAATCCATTTTAAGATAATTTTTCACGAACACAACTGAGATGATTATTCTTTACCAAATCTTTCAACTCGGGCATGGATTTTGTAGCGGGATAAAATGCGCTGTTGAAGTTGGCGTTTTTGTCCATGAGGTACAGTGGATTGAACCATTCATAAAGTGAATAGTACACGCCAGCCTTCATCCCCGAGTTTTGCCGGATGCCGTACATGAAATCGCCTGAGTGCCAAATGAAAGAAAATGACCAAGTTTTGAACACAATCGTGTGTCGTTTCAATTAGGAACTTGCCTACGATATCCCTGGCTGGGCCATTGTCCACTGAGTTCCAGTGTTGTGAGTAGGGAGATGGCCACATGCAGTAGCCGTCGTGATGTTTTGCGGTAATGATGGCATATCTTTGTGAAAGAAGAAAGAATTTTTAATTTACGTTTTCGCCGTAGTTTTCAAACAAATTTTATACCGTGCTCCAGCGTGTTCGAAAAGCTCTGCCCATTTTGCTGGGTTAAAGAATGTTGTGGAGAGGCTCTTTGCGAAGCTTGCGTATGTCTTCTGTGGCTTGTAGTTGTCGTTGATGTATTTTAAGTAGGCAGCTTTTCTTTCTCCTGTGAAGTTAAATGATTTCGAGAATTTGAATGTAAGTTTGCGTGGAGTTAGTGGAAATCGGCTTCGAAGTTTAAGTCATTGCGCAAGACCATGTGACGTTTTATTTGATGGGATATTCTGAGGAGTTGTCTATTTTTGCGCCTTTTGGTCGTCTTTCAGCAAGATGAAGTTAGTGAGTTCACTTTGAAATTAAAATATTGTACTGCATCAGCAAAAGTGGAATTTCATCTCATCGCATATGGGCTTATTTCATAGCATTAATACTCCCAGAAATGGAAAACCTTTTTTCGTAGAACAGGTAAAATGGTGATTTTTCTTCTTTTCACCTGCATTTTGTTGCAACTAGAAATGTACAATAATACTGTATAGGACATCAGTAAAAGTAGAGTTGAAGTAAATTTTTATTCCAAGTCTTTTTGCGGCGATGGCCTCAACTTTTCCGGCCTTCATAAGATACCGGCCTTTCAAAGTAGATACACTTCAATTTTTTTAAGAGTTTACATCGAATTTGGGAAGTATGGTCGAAAACGTAGGGATGCTGGCATGTAATCAAAATTTTTTGTAGGTTTTTCTTTCATGATTTTTTGTTGGGCTTTGAAAATGTTGCGGATGGGCGATTAGGTTATATTCGAGCTTAGGGTGGACTTCAATAGAAAATAATGCCATACCTTGCCATGACCACAGAAACCATTCGGACCCGACGCCTGGAACCGAGTAAACTCCCCAGTGCACCATAACTCCGATTTTCCCCTTGTCGTACCAGTCAGGTATGGGACGAGAATCTAGTGATTCCCAAGTAGGTTCGTATGTAATTGCCGGAGGAGCATCGGGTACTGGGATGGGTACTTCCTCAATTTTCACGTCAGTCGGCAACACATTAATCTCCACGTCTTCTCCTTCGGTCTCTGGTTGTTCTTGCGCGTTGATGATGGCAGCTGCCATCAGGATTAAAATTGACTGCATCTGGAATCTCATCTTGCCTGACCTGATACCTTTAGTGTGCAAAAAATAAATATTGCAATCCTAGAGTATATCACAAAGAGATCATTGATGCTTTAATTGTCGTGTAACTGAGCAAACCACTGACAGCTCCAGACTGAAGGTTAGGGCCGATGAAAGAATGCGTTTTATATATTTTCTGCTGTGTCAGCATTTGTTAAATTTCTTGGAAAAATATATGTGGTGTGAAAATGGCTCCCAAACGGAGGAAGATTATTTTCGTTAATGCCTTTGGATTCCAAAAATCTTATGTTAGAACGCATTTCTCACAATTTCTGCGGATTCGACAGTTTTTTAACAAGCCACAGTATCAGCAAATATATGAATTTTTGCAGTGGTTGGTGAATTGTTTTTCCCCTTGAGCGTTGTAGGTTTCTTCTGCGCGAGAATACCGTTCCCGAATGCATTATTTTCTTGAAACTGGTATTTGAATTGTAGAAATCTAACTTCAAGTTTTTGGTTTATTTTAAAAATTCTCAAATTATCTGACGTCAAATAATTGACTATGCTTCCTGTTGAAATTTCTCTGTTTTCCCCATTTCTCTTCATTATTTCATAGTTTTTTGGATTACTTACGAATGTAAGAAAAAAAATTTATTTGTGGAGAGTAGGGTAATTAATGCGATTAAAATGAACTGACCTGATTCTTTTTTGTTTTGAGGGGTCGTGGGAAAGACTCGCGCATCACACGATTGGTTACGGGATGTTCAGATTAAGACATCTGCAGTGTGCATAAATAAGTTGAAACGCGCAAATCAACCAGCTGAGAATTTTGCCAACGGCAACCAGAACCTCCCATAATTATTTTCACACTTGGTAAATTTTTGCATTTCCATGAAGCAGGGGTGATTGGAGACAATCTCTGTGGATATTTTTGTAATGCTAATACTGTCCTGTTCCTGTGATATCTCATTATCCTCACAGGTGTTGTTTGTTCCTTTAGATATTCAAAAAAGTTGATTAAATTATTCAGCATTTAATATCCTTCCCTTTGGGTAAAGAATTCGTCAGTATATATTGAAGCCAATTTTTGCTTGGACACTGTCCCTGTACTTTATACCTGTCCTTCACTAATTTTTTCAATTACTAGAATTGTTTTTTCTTTCGATGAAATGGAGAGAAAAAACAAAATAATCTATGTCATAATTCACAATTATCTACGAATTCTACGTTATACATGTAATTCACAATTATAACGTATTATACTGTAATTGTATACAATCTTGACATTTTTTGGCCGATGGGAATTTTTCCTGAATTTCGGAGATGCAATCCTATGTTGAGGAACGCATGCACATGAGAATTATCTATTTGACGTGATTTTCTTGTGAAAAGTTTGTGCTTCTCAAAAAGCGTTGTAGTTCTTGCATATTATAATTAATATTCGTGTCTCTTTTAAGGAATGAACGTTGGACAAGATCAACCGTTCCAATATCAGCCGAGTGCTCCAATTTCAACCACAGTCATCGTCACTGCAAGTGGAGACTGTCCCGTGTGTCGCGTGAGGATCTTACAATAATATTTGAATCATTTTTCATCGTGAGAGAATTTTGTTCAGTTTCCGCACGGAGTCATGATGAATACTGCAGTCTACCAATTTGGCTAGATATTTTTCATGCAGTTAATCTTTTCTGAATATTCCTTCAACTTCTGTGACGTCACTCGAGAACGTTCAAAGAAATTTTGTTTTTTACTGGACATCATCCAGATTCGGCAAGAAATAATTTTATAAATCACAACAGTGTAAGTACGAAGTCGCTCAGGAATGAAAAAGAATAAGAACAATTGTTGGAAAGTTTTCTCCTATGGTTCATGATGTTGGGAAATTATTTGCGTAGTAGTACTTTTTCTGGACGTGATCATCTGAAAAATCTAATACAGTAATGCTAATACGTTTCCTGTTGAACTTCAGATTAACGAAAAGTTGAAAATCAATAAACCTTTCGTAATGTCATGTCTCTCAAAAATTTCATGCAGAATCTTTCACCCACGTTCATTTCATTTATAGGTTGGTGTGCTGAGGGAAGAAATCACTTGCTTTGGCATTGCCATGGCTATCATCTTCTTTCCTCTCGGACTTTTGTGCCTACTTCTGACTCAAAAGCGTTGTTCCAACTGTGGGTCCACTTTCTGAAATGGCAGAATATTGAACGTGACGAGAGACCCAAGGTTTGAAACGTCTATCTACTGAAATGAGCATAAATTTGCTTTCCGGAAAGCATCTGCTTGAAGGACCGACCGAGCACTTCCTTGAATTTCTGGCTGTTCGATGGCAACCGATTGATGGATACACTTGATTCCTAATCGTGATATATTTTGATGATGTTCTCCGCTTTGTTCGTGAGCTTGAGGTTTCGGGTATTTTTATTTTTTTCTTCACCGTGGTGTAAATATCAGCTTTAAGAGTTTTTTTTTTTTATTCAAGAAAGAAAGCCATCTTTGTGACTTAGTCGTGTATTTCGGAAAAACGAGGAATATTTCTGGCTTTGCTTGACCTTCCGTGTTGAACCCCGAATTTCATGCAATGGATTTCGTCCGTCTCGATGCCACATTGGTTTGATATTCCCAGCAGCGAAGTGATCGAAATTTTAACCGCGAATTTTGAAATTTTTGCCTGAAATTTCCAGTAAAATCTGATGAGAAAAAATTCCGACGCGAAGAGAAAGGTTCAAAACACTGCTGTGATTGTGCTAACTTTCATTCGCGAGATCGATGTATTTTACCCAGGCGAATCTGACAACTTTTTTCGTGAGCACCAGACGTTCCGAGGTTTTTTTGATGGGTTATACTTGCACGAATCGAATATTTGTGGGGCTCAAACGAAAAGACGATATAACACGACCGGTTGCCTTTGCTGTCATCGAGTGGTTCAGATTATTCCAATTTCCTTTGCACGTCGCGCACGATTCAAAAGGCGTTTCAGGACGTCGTCCTTCGCGTTGCTGTTGAAAACTTTGTCGGTTAGCCCCTGGAACCCCTCGACGAATTGTTCTTCAAAGCTTTCTGGAAAATCGTCTTTGGTCACCATGATGACTGCCAGGGTGCTTATGGACACGAGGAATCCAGCTTCTTCGCAAACTGTAAATTCGCGACGAAGCTGTTCGAAGGAGTAGCTGCCGACAAGACCCGTGATGTTTTCGGTGTCCAACTGGGTCAGAATTTTGATGAATTCTTGGTAGTACACAGAAAGCATTGGCATCAATTCGTCGTTGAAGATTTCCTCGGTGGTACTTGTGTACCAGAGCATGGCCACGTCGAAGAGTGCGTGCCCAAAGCGAGCAAACTGAAAATCCAGCAGTTTCACGCTTTTTGCCCTTCCGCTTTCGTCGTATCTAATGAATAAAGGGTAATCAGATAAAAGCGCTCTGACAAAAACCATCTCGGGCGAAACGCAGCTGTGATCAATTGTTTCTCAGGGTCTAATTTTTTTTTTTAATTCTGTAATCTATCGCATTATTTCCGGAGTACTGTAGAGTAGAACGAGCCTGTTTCGTATGGGGCATGTTTTGTATTCAATGCATTTTCAGACAATCACGAGTGACATCAAAAATCCAAGACGAATATGTAAACAGAAATCAGTGAGTATTTTATGCAGGGTCGCCTAGAAAACATCGGACCAATTTTAAAACAAAAGCACTTAAAAAACAATTGAAATTTTTGCGAAGTGAGAGATCTCTGTTAAAATCAATTGAAAAATACATTATATTCACTGATAGCGAGCTAACTGCACTATGTCTTTCCGAAAAGGAAATATTCAGTCATTTTCGAAAATAAAATGGCAAACTAAACTATAAAATATTTTTTTCTGTCAGCATTAGTTGTGAAAGTTTGTCCCACTTCATAAAAATGTTTTTGAATCAGATTGTTCTAGAAATTAAAAAAAATTATAATAATCAGCATTCTAAAAAGTTTGAGAAAATTTTGAGATTTTTTAAGGAGTAATGATCCATATGCAAGAACTTCAATTTAGACTCCTGTAGAACTTGCATCAGGTCATAAATGCAAAACTTGAGATTAAAAATTTCAACATAAATTTGAAACTTATTGGCTTTTCAATACTGTACAGTATATGATGCATAGTTTTCATTTCGTTTTCATGGTACAGCATGTGATTACTTTGGCCGACTTTATAAAAAAGCTGCAATCTTGAAACTTCAATATATTGTTAAACTTTCAGCATGTTAGATTGAAATTTCTCCTAGAAGATCGCTCATTTTTGTCACTCGACTTTTTGTGTGAGATAAATTGTCATTGTTCCGTAAGTTGAATATTGTTCATCTAATTACTATCTTGATGGCACCTACTCACAAAATGCGCAAAATAATTATCTTTTTTGTCTGGTTATTTCTGACGTTTGCAGAAAAATTTACGTGTCAGATTTGGTAGAGAATATCGCTGATTTTTGTGATCGAATGTTTTCAAGTTCTGTATAAATTGCGTCCATCCAAAACTGCGCACATTTTTTTCCTCGCAGAAATTGATTCTCTGCGGGAATGCATTAGAAAATAACATGCTGTGTAAAAAACAAAAATAACCCGAACATTTCATGGAGTTAATGACAGTTAATTCGGAAATGTTCGCCTCAAGGATGAAAAGCAAAGGGAAAGAAACTTCAGGGCAACATAAAAATTTTATCTAACCATTATTCTCCTCTCCGGTGAAAGTATGCCATCCTGAATGTATGCATTTGTGCCAGGCGCCTTCAATGAGGGAAGGGAAAGCTCCAACGGAAAATATGCACAGAAATGCAGAAAAATCTCCCTTTTTTTGTTGCCTCGTTTGTTGAAAACTTTTTGCTGCCGGTTAAATTACGGCAGGATTTTTCATATCTTCATATTTATTGAAATTTATCTCGGCAATAATTTCAAATCTTTTCTGTAAAACCTGCAGGAAATTCACAATTCTCTTCACGTTTGGCATCCACTAAATCAACCCTTGAAGAACGAAATTCGATTAGAAACTATGTGCAGTGCTTGGGTTTCATCAATAAATAAATGAATAGAGAATCTGTGTTCATTATTCAGAAGCCCGTATACAGGATATTTTTCTGCAATATTGAGAAATTTGCGAAAAGAAATTAAAGTCTTACTTTGTCTAATGTTTGCTTCATTTAAACAGAGAACAATTTATTATTCCGCGCATAGAACAATAATAATTCATACCATTCAAAAGTATTTCACATGAGATTTCTTGTAAGTGAAAATCCATCTTTCTATTTTCCGCAATTTGCCAGATAATTACATTTCTCAAATTTTTGAGTTTCAGTTAAAATGACTGCATGTCATCACATTCTAAGTACACCGAAGAACATAAAAATTAAAAAGTGCTCATTCCGTTCTTCAGAAGGCGGCGGAAATTTCCATTCGTTTTGGGCTTCTGTATTTTAAATTTGTGTCGTCCGAATGATATAAGATATAATATTCAAGCTGAGATAAACTGTTCTCTGTCTTTGATTTTTTTAGAAGGTTAATGTTCAAGCATATTATTAAAAATATTGAAGTTGAAAGCTTGCAAAAAAGCAGTTGACAAAAATTCCCTTTAACTTCAGCGATCAAGAATACTTTCTACTCCTCTCAAATCGTTTATTTATTTAGATACTGCTGTTCGCAAAGAGGTTCGAATTTCCTCGTATACCCGACAAAATTATATATTATATTTAGTCGTTATAGTTTTATTTTGTATCTCAATTAGAGTTGAATTTATTGTTGCTATTGCGTGGATGTTTCCTCCTGGCCCAAAAGAAGTATTTGAATTAAAATGCAGCTGGATTTCCGTTGCATTATAATAATACCGTCATTAGTTCAAGGATGATACTGTATTTGGATTGAATCCCCAGATTTTGTTGGAAGTACGTGTTCGGGGTTCATGATGGCTCAACTGGAGCAGGTGTAGAACCATTGGAATGTTTACTCATAAAATCGAATGCAATGTAGCAAAGCAGTTCTGCCTTATTTTATTCCGGCAAATTGTTTTAATTTTCGGGATAAGGCGTAAAGGTCGGTATTCGAATCTATATGGTGATCAATACAATCCCCGAGAAAACGAAAGGGGCGTCTCGGAGTACAGTATAGACTTAATATTTCACCCAGTGTAAGGTACAGTATTTTATTGTATAATACAGTACCATATTTGTTCGAGCATACCACGCGCATATTTTTTTCGAAATTTTTTTAAAGGAAGAAATGGGTACGTGGATACATTTTTGGAATCTTTTTAGAAGTTGAAGTGTCCGTTATACTTGATTCTAACAGGTAAGTTTGGACCAGTTTGAACAGAAAAACTTATTTTAATGGAAAAAATTGAAAATTAGTTGAATTCATGTCAAGTTCTCAATTCGTGAATTTAAATTGTTGAATTACAGTACTGTATTGCAGTTTTAGGGTCACTAGAAATGTAGGACCCACGTCTTTCTTCGGGATGTGATACGATTTAATGAAAATTTCAGACTTGAAAACCCTGGTGCGTCTCATATACGTGAGGGCATGGGGTACTCGAACAAATATAATGGTAATCACTGTTCATGGATGATTCCGTGGTTTCCTTTCTATCGAATATTCGGAAGAAACATTTAGCCTGCTGGTTTTTATGAATATGCCCATCTGAGTCACCATACACATAAGAGCCTTATTAAGTAAGTATTAATGTACTAACAACTCACTCACCTGAACATCATATTATTCACCCAACAGTCAGTCATTGTGAAACACTTGAGCGATGTCTGATCCGCAACTTGGAAATTGCGTCGGTTACGTTCCAGCATGGCGTCGTTATCAATCAATGAATACGCTTGGAGTCTCTCCACGAGTTCTGGTTCCGTGGCCTCGTACTTTTCTTGCATGGCTTTGCATGTTTTCCTCATGGACTGAGGGTCTGCGTACAGCTGGAGAATCGTGTGACTCGTCATTGCGTCTGATGCGTACAAAAGGCCAAAGTCTTCTTTCAGTTTTTCAGGTGTGTAGAGATGCGCAAAGTACAAGGAACTCGCGTGAAGCCTTGAAAAAAAAATAATAATAAATTATGTACAGGATTTTCTCTCCGTCAGGGGCTCTGTTATTCGTTCACCGATGATAGAAGTTATTTTTGTTTTTAAAAAAACTGAGTCGAAGCATTTTTCATAGGTTCCTCTGCATAATTTCAGCATTTTTTCAGCTTTTCAGAATATTCCAACTGATGTTGAGTATACCCTCCAGATAAGAAAACTTTTTGATCATACGTATGTGCTGATGTAAAATATCGTTACAGCGAAGCCGTGGGGGTCGACCAGTGAAATTGGATCGTTGTAACCGAAATTCGTTATAAAGTACAAAACCTCATTTAACATATTATGGCTATTGGAGAGGAACCAGAAAACGGCTTCATTGTGAGCGACTATTCGTTAAAACGAGTTTCTACCGTAGTTCAATTGTAAGTCAAAATATGAGGAACTTTCGAGACGCAAATGCTACTGAAGCTAAAATTTAATTTATGGGCTGGACACGTAGACTTGTAAATTTAAAATCTAGAAACGCAAAACATTTCAATAAATAAATCAACTGACGAGACGCCTACTTTTTAATATATTGATTCAATCATACTGCCAATGATTGAAACTACTTCACGTATTGTATGAATGTTTAAAAAAAACTGACGACACTGCAGTAATTCGGTAAAAAAAAAATCCCATGAACTCATTTTTAAAATCTTCAATGCGCGAGTGCGTTTTCAACTTATTGCGGTGCCTATGTACAGGTATATGCCGTAAATTCTGCGCAGAAATTTTATCATTTTTGTTCAAATTGCAAAAATGCGTTTTATTCTCGCGGTTGAGTAAGGGCGTCGTAATGCATCAGCACAGCAGCCAGGGGGTAGTAAAATCACCTGGCAAGCACTAACGAGTTGACCGTGAGACTTTCCCACTGATTAATAATGACCGAGAAATTATCATTACAGTGAGTCCCCACATAACGAAAGACTCACGCGACGAAAAATCTGCATTAGTGTACTACAATTCTTATGAAGAAGAAGGATAATTTGACGCACATAACGAAATTGCTTCACTTCGCGAAATTTATTGGATGGACTTGGAAAACCCTCGAATTTTGGAAAGTCTGGTAATTTAGGAATTGCTTAGGAGTTCGTCACAAAAATCGAGAAAAATCATAGAAGTAGGGTAAATTTTTCCTCCTTCTCGTTTTTAAAATAATGTATGTGAATTCAGACAGATATAATAGCACACATTTGTCAGCATCACCTGAAATCAAAACTCATCTAACTTCAAAGGAAATCGCATTTTTCATTATGAAAATCGACACAACGAAACGAATCCAGGAACGGATTAGTTCCGTTAAGTGGGGATCGACTCCCTTCTTTACACTAATTTACGTACCGCCGATATTATTCCTATTAGCGGTTTCGAATTTTATTGCAACTCAATGAAGTACTGTACAAGGGTATATTTTTAATTGCAAATTTTCATTCCTTTTGCAGTACGCTTATATGATGTATGAGTATATAACGAGTACAATATACAGTACTTTACATTATATCGCATAATTTGAGTCGATATATAAGCTGCGTATCGAGTTTGTCGACTGCTGGACTGTCAGCGTCGATTTCTTTGAAATGTATCGATTTCCATTCCGTGCAGCGGAATGGAGCTGTTAGCGACATCTGTTTGAATCATTCAAAACATTTAAAGAAGTGAAGACCCGTATTCTACAGATAACGCTAAATGTAACTTGCGTTTTGCGCATGGCATCGTGGTGCACGACTGTAAAATTTCACTTTTTACGAGATTCACGATGATTTTCAATACCTTGCGTAAGCTTCCAAAGTAATTCTCATTTCATCAGAATTCATTCCCAGCTTTCGATCCCCCATGCAGTAGTTGTAAAATCCCAGATCCACCATCACCAGCAACTCGTCGTTCGCATACACTACTTCAGGATAATCCTTCTTCAAGTCGATTTGCTTCTCCGAGGCTATGCTCAGAATTTCGGGAAGAAGTTTTTGGTAGAAGCAGATTTCCCTTTCGAACAACTCGTACTTTTTCAGGAATTCGCGCTGAGCTCCTTGATGGGGCATGCATTTCGAGAACAATCGAATTTCCTGCGTCTCTTCACTCTCGGGACAGGTGCGGTATTGAACACGGATTCTGACTGTCGAACTTGCGTAATTTTCACCTTTCTCCAGTCCGTCTTCGAAGGTGAAATCTGTCACTTTCAATTTCTCGCATTGCAATTTTTCCGCGAGAATATTCGTCAGCCAATCTTCCGTCACGAGATTTGAAAGTGTATCCACCATTGGACCCGAGTCAAAAATCTCACAATAAACGAAACAAAGAACAATTTCACAAACTTTTTTGGGTATCCAGCTAGCTCTTTCCTTTCTGATATTCTAAATCAAAATTCCAGGGACTTCAAACAAAGTTTGTTACACTAAATAATGTATAAGTATAATTTGAAATTTATCTAATGGAAACAGTGTTTTAAATGAGACCTGCAAACATTTAAAATCTTGCTTATCTGGCATTTGAGACTTTTCTTTATTTTTTTTAGAAAAAAACCCAGCTATCCTCTATTCGGTCGCTGATGTCAACCATACAACCTTTACATAGTACAGTACTGCTTTGGAAAATCATGTTTTATGGGTTGAATTGTCTGAGCATGCAAATAATTTTTCACACATACGTGCAAAGAAAAATTCGGAGCTTCTTGCCAAGAGGCAATTCTTTTTTGGCTTTCTTTTTCACTTTTTCTCTGCCCTATTTGTGGGTTTAAAAATGGGCAAATGAAATCTAACTGAATAACAAAGGAGAAAATTAATTGCCATAAATGATTATGGTCAGAGGATGGATTATTGCTGAATTTTTTTATTTGAATTCCTGAATGGCTTTTATTCCTGGATAAATGAATCAGATAAAATTACAAAAATATCAGACAGAACAGAAATGAAGGCAATTGAATTTCCAAATTTTGTTTGTCCATGTTCATGAAGACGACACTCATAATTTTGCAAAGAAGCACCATGAAACAAGTGTCGACAAAAATGCGAATTGAGAAGATAACAACAAGCACTTCTTCTGAATAATCATTTTTTCCGAACAATTCCTGCACCAATTCCTGGAGTTCCCTAAACCGTTTGTGTTCAGAAAAAGTTTGTGATCCTTTCAAAAGGAAATTTGAAATTGGAAGGGAAGTTTGAGGCTGTGCCAGCCATTTGCAATGTTTAACCTTTTTTCACCGGAACAATCCCAAATTTTAGATTACCGCATATTTTAGTTATATTGTACTACAGTAAATTGTGAAACGAACACTATTTTATGCGTGCGCCAGGAAAAAAGGGACATAGATCGGATGAAGTACTGTAGCTTGTTTTTTGACCGATCGCCTTGATATTGGAATTTTTAAAGTAATAAGAATTCTATAAATTGACCGTACGTCAAAGTAAAAAAAAAAAGCATCCGAAATTTAGCATTGGCGTTTCTGAAAAAATTGTTCGCATGCTTTTGCCTCGAATTGTCCAAATTTTGAATCGCAATATGAATTTGTTAACAGGATTGGTTTTTATTAATCCAGCATTGAATGTTAATGCTTATTTTACACCACAGTGCTGTCATATAGATGGAAAAGGCTGTACTGTATTTAACCTCGGTTTTACACACTCGGGGAAACACAGATTAAAATCCGAGGCATGTCTTCTCTGCGTAACTCGCCGAAGAGGAATGTTTCACTTACCGCCTTACAAAGCCGTGTTTTGTTTTTGTTTCCCAGCACGTTCGCACGCACAGATATTTTTTTTCTGCGTGTTTTATTTCCAGAATTCTATTGTTTAATTCAGTTTATCCTGATGATGACGATACACATGAGCCAGCAGCACAATCTTGTTTATTTTAAATGTCAATTACCGCTCTTTCAGCACTGCTGTGACTTGCCTTGTTTGGAAAGCTGAGAAGTGGAATGATGCTGTGCGTGCTGTGATGGGAGATGAGCTCAATGGTTTCGGGGAAAATGCAAATGCATCTTTTAAAGCAATAATTAAGCTTCAAATTAAAAAAGATCATCACGCAGAGTATAATTTCAGAAAGTTCTATACCACCTACTGAGCGCGGTCATTTTTTTCTGAATTTTTTTTTCTTTTAAAGAGAATTTAATTTCTTTTGAGGCAGTCGTAAACTTGGTCGTTTAATCCCTAGAGGCAAGGTTTAATCACCTGTTCTCATTCGTAAACGTTTTTCTGGTTCATTAGGCTGATTTGATTATACTGTACGCTCCATTTCGACTTTTACGTCGACATCATCTCTCTTATTTTGTGAAGTCTTATTTTTTTTTCAATGTTTAGAACAAAACATATTTATAGAATATTTCGTTCACTGATTGCTTTGTAGTTCAGGGTTGACGTACCGAACTGAAGAAAATAGCTGGTGATATTTGAATGTGAAGAATTTGGGAGGAAATAATAGTATAGTATTCAGGATATTCAGAGATACCCAGCAATTTTGTATTCTTAAAATGAAGACAGAAGATCTCTTCTAAGCAGAAAGTATTTATTTTGAAGCCTTTTCCGAGCATTGTTTTCCTGTACTAACCATTACAGTGGTACCTCACACTACGAATGTAATCTGTTCTGGAGCTACGTTTGTAGTATGAAACGTTTGTACTGCAAATCATGATTTCCCATAGACTTCTATGGGAAATCATTTAATTTGTTCCCAAATTTCTGAAAAATTCAAAAAAATTTGAAAAAATTAAAAAAAATCCAAAAACATCTCTTTGTTTCCATCAAAGCAATTTTAGCACTCATTGAGCATTACCCTACATGTGAAACATTAAACCTATGATCCAAACTGTTCTGAAAAATATTAAGACAAAAATTATTTTTGAAAATGGGATTTAAACTCAGTTTTCTTTTTATGTGTGCATTGTAAGTTGAAATCTCTTCCAACATTGTTCATAAGGGGGTTTTGCAAAATAGTTTTAAAATTAGACTTTAATTTGAATTTTAGGGAGAGTAGATTGAAGG